GGAAGACTAGCAGAAATTGGGGGAAATTGAACCGAAAGGGAGGAAACTGGTTGAAAAGGAGGGAAATTGATCCAAAAAGGGAGGGGAAACGGGCCCAAACATGCATGAAATAGCCCCAAAGTGGGTGAACTAAGCCCAAAATTTGGTGATATGACCTCCAGAGTGGGGGAAAAGTAGCCTGCCTTTGGTGAAATTGCCCCAAAACTAGGAGAAATTGACACAAAAGGGGGGGGAATGGACAAAAACCTGGGAGAACTGACACCAAAGTGAGTGAAAATAGCCCCAAATTGGGCAAGATCGGCCCAAAGTGGGTGGAACTGACCCCAAAAAGAGGCAAAATTGAACTCACGTGATTGAAACTGGCACAAAAGGGGGTGAAATTGGCCTGAAAAATGGCCCCAAAAGTGTGAAACTGCCCCAAAACTGCGCGACATTGACCTAGAGTGGGGGCAAGTGGAGACCCCGACGGGAGCGGACTTGCTGAGGGGGTAAAGCACCTGGGGAGGGGTGAAACGGACCCAGAAGGGGTGCCCGGAGGCCGGCGTCCCGGCGGAGGTTGGCTTCACCCCACACGCTGCGGTTGTGCCGTGGGTGTTTATTTTCCATGTTCAGCCGCGTGCGCCCGGTGCTGCACCCCCCGCCCCAAAGATCCTCCCAAACAGCCCCACAGATCATCCCCTACTGCCCCATGGACCCTCCTGACTGCTCCCCAAACTGCCTCACAGACCCACAGCTGTCCCCTGACTTGCCCCTGAGACCTCCTATTCCCTCCCCACCTATCCCATAGATCCCTCCGGACCCAAAACCTACCCCACAGACCAAAACTGCCTCTCAGCTGGTCCTATAGACCCTCCCAACCTTCCCCGGAGACACCTCAGTCCCATAAACAGTTGCATTGACTCTCCAACTGCCCCCCAACCTTCCTCAGGGACCCCCCAGACCGATAACCTACCCCAGAGATCCCAATCTGCCCCACTGATCCACCAATTGCCCCTCAATCCTCCCCCGCACCAAATACAAAGGCTTTGGCATGTGCAAGCAAAGAGTGCGTGTGACCCTGGGGGCCACCAGTGGCCCCCAGTTACCCCCAGCGCTCCCCCCGGACCATCAGTGCCCCGCCAGTGCTTCCAGTCCTGCACCATGCACAGAGACCACCCCATGCTGTGGAGCAAGTCCTGGGTCAGATCCATGGTCACCCCACGGCATGGAGCAAGTCCATGGCCAGATCTGTGGGTCACACCACACCGTGGAGCACCCATGGGACCCCCGTGGGGTATATCTGAGGCAGCCCACCCCACAGGGCAGCTCAGGGGCGACAGACCCCCCACATGAGGCTCCCAGGCACCATGGGGGCGCCTCCATGGATCAGCCCATCTGATGGGGCACCCGTGGGATGGTCATGGGGTGTCCATTCGATCACTGTGGGGCACCCTACACTATTGCACACTTCAAGGGTCCCATGCCTGAGGACTCCAAGCACCCCAAGACACCCCCATGACCACCCCAGTGGTGCACCGCATCTAATGGTTCACCCATGGAATGTTCTTGTGGTGGTCGTGGCGTGTCCACTGGAGCTCTCCAGGACACCCTGCACCATGGGGCACCCCAAGGGTGCCAGATCCCCATGCATGAGGCCTCCAAGCACCACGGGCACCTGGGAGACCACTTCAACGGTGCACCCCGTCCAACAGCTCATCCATGGAACGTTCTTGTGGCGATTGCGGGGTGTCCACTGGACCTCTACGGGGCACCCCGCACCATGGGGCACCATCGGTGGGGCTGGGGGGGCCGTGACGGCCTCACCCGAAGAGGCGAAGGAAGCATGGCTGGCAGTAGGGCTTGCCCTCCTGCTCCTGAAAGGTGCCCTTGGAGAGGGGCCGGAGGCAGAAGGCGCAGACGAAGTGCTCGGGGTGGAAGCGTTGGGCCATGGCAGTGACGCACCGGCCAGCGATGGGTTCCCCGCAGCCCCGGCACAGCGAGCCCCGCCTGGCGTGGAAGTGCCGCTCGCAGTAGGGGTGGCCGCCATCCTCGAAGAAGCTGCCCCCCACGAAGGGCGCGAAGCACTCCTGGGGACAGGGACGCGGGGATGGGAGCATCAGGCACCAGGGGAGGTGGGGACGCCGGCGACCACAGGAGGCGGGGACATGGGAACGGTGGGGGCCTCACCCGGCAGACGAAGCACTCGGGATGCCAGAGCCCCTCGAGGGCGGCGATGTAGCCCTCCAGGATGGGCCGCCCGCAGCCCCGGCACCGGCTGGAGAAGAGCTCGGCAAAGTCCTGGCGGCAGTACTGCTGACCATCCTTCTCCAGAAAGCCTGGGGGGCACCACAGGGATGGGGGGAAGGGGCAGCGCAGGGACGGGGAGGTGTGGGGACACGGGAGACACGGTCGCAGGGATGGTGAGACGTGGGGACACGAAGGATGCGGCTGTGGTAGCGAGGCCAGGATGGAGAAGGAGAGATCTGGGGGTGTGGGGACGGCGGTGGGACCACCATGGGGACACAGGGACACGTGAGCACAGAATGAGGCCACAGGGACATGGGGGGACAGCGGGACAGGGCAGGGACACGGGGGGCCATGAGGGGACACGAGGTGATCTGGGAGGACAGGAACGGACACGGAACAGGACACGGGACACGGAGGCCACCCACCTTCCTCGCCGAAGGGCTGCCCGCACTTGACGCAGCAGAAGTGCTCCGGGTGCCAGTTCTTGTCCAGGGCCGTCACCATTTTCTGTGTCGGGGGTGATGGGGACGTCACTGCAGCCCACCCCCGGGGGTCCCACTGCACCCCAGGGAGTCTCACCGCCCCCAGGACACCCTGCTGCACCCCATGGGGTTCCACAGCACCCTACAATGTCCCCCCCCTTCCACGAGCCTACCACAGCCCCCCGAAGGTTCCACCACCCCCCT